CCCAAGCACAGTAACTATATTCTTCTTATCTCTAAAAACTTAATTTTAATTGAGATTACTTCCAAAATATGAAATCAAGATTTACCTTCAATAAAACTTATTAAACACAAACCAACTGATTCAACTTTAGACATTTGTGAATAGGCTAATATAAATGCCTAGGTTATCAGTAAGGCTAATTTTTAAATTCAGTGTAATTTCAAAGGTTTTATCATCTTCCAGTAAGTAACAGAATAAATAAGAATTCCTAGAGTTGCTTAAATTGCTTATCAGCAGTTCCCCTCCCTAAAGGTAAAGCATGTATTCTTTGCAATCTCTCTAGCCAAGTCTATTCAATCCATTTTCACAATTTTAAATTTAACTAAGTTTATCCAAGAAAATGGATGATTATTTATTAAATTACCTGTATAAATAACATTCCCTTCTTGGCATTCAGGAAGAGGCCTTTTCCCACGCCTGTGTGCTTTTTCCCGAAATCTTACTGTTATCACTACATTCGGATTACCAGTACTGCAATTCATTTCAGAAAAAGATTTGGTTTCCACAAGGTTTCCAAACTTTTTGTTGACAAAATGGTGGACAGCTTTTCTGTGGTCTTTGTTTGCATCAGGTTTAAAGGTAAATTTGGAATTTTCTTTCTTCGCATCCAAATACTTAAAAAAGTTAAATGCTTCCTCTTCAGATACCAAATGACAAAGTTCTTTATACTCAAGATTTGGTTTTACAACAATTTCACTGTTTTTTCCTACAGTTATTAAAAATGGAAATTTCTGCCTAATGGCACTATGTAAACTAGCCCTCTGGTTTTTGTCAAGGATTCTGCCTATTGAGAATTCAAGAGGTAGTCCAATTAGCTCTCTTTCAGAAAGCCACTTCTCTTTTATATCACAGGCAAAATTATTCAGTAACTCATGAGTTTTTTCATCTAAAAAGGAGCTTAAAACATCAGCTTTTTCTTCACATTTGGAAGTTCCATCACTGATAGTATCTTCCTTTTCTGAACCAGACGGATGATTTTGGTCACCATCAGTGTACTTAACCAAAGTATTAACTTCTTGGTTTCTTCCATCTTCAAAGGACAGATTTTGAAGATCTAGTTTTGTTTTTTTGGGAAAATTATTTGGCTCAGGTTGTATTTCACTAATCTTGAAAATAGGCTCATTGATGGTCTTATTAACTAATTGTCCCTGTTCATCAATTTCAATAACAATAAAGTCACTTGGTGAGCTTTTTATAGTGCCATGAAATCCAATATGATCATTAAAGAAACACAAAGAACTAAACCTGATTCTATAATCTGTATCTTCTTCCATTCTTCTATAATAATGCCTAAAAAACAAAACAAAGAGGTGGTTAGTTAACAGAAAGAGAAATTATGGATGACCAGATAGGAATAGGTTTGCAGGATTTAGTTAATTCTGTCTCTCTTTTAATCCTGAGTCTTCTTAAATGGCATCGTTAATTTATAACTATATGTACATCCTGTGTACTTTGACTCTCCTATACCAAGCTGAAATAATAGGCAAACTATTTCTGGTATAGCTAAAGATTTGTTAACTTGTATCTTCACTCACTCCAGATTTGTACCTATTATCCAGGATTAAAATGAGTCAATTTTAAGTTTATCTTAAAAATATCATTTGTAGGCCCACAAGAAGAGGTGAGAACACAGGACTATAAAACAAAGATTTGTCCAAATTCCATTCCTGGAGTCTAAAATCTCCAGCTAATTCCAGAGAATATGTGGCTAAGTTTTCTTACATTATTAGTGGTTGGTGACAGGAGAGGTGACAAGAAGACAATAGGAAAACTGATGGGTAAATGAAGTTATAAATACAAATTTGTGATTTGATTATATTTCAAGGTAGGATTAAGTCAGTCCTGGGCCTTCTCTAATGCCCCCATTAGGACAAATAGAAGCTTTCAAGGTTGACCCAGAGGAAAGTTCTAACTATATCATTGGCATCAGACTGAAGAAACCTTACAGAGCTTCCTGGGAACACTACGCAAGAGAATAGTACTCTATCTCTCACCTTTCACACAAACCCATGGCTACCATAGGATATGGCGCTGCAGGAAAGATAAATTGCCCAGGGGCCCCCCTACTACTGAGTTCTGTGTTTACCCACATTCTCCAAGTAATTTATCATCATCTGGACCATCATCTCATATCTATAATGTATTCTACTATTCTGAACCAATTTAGCAAATCACATCCCTTCTCAATCCTTTCAATCATGCCATATAGAAATCACAACAAATTCTCCATATCCTAATTTCCTAAGGAAAATATAAGATATATTTATTTTCCTTAATTACTTAATTTCCTGTACAGTTCCCTCACTTTCTTGCCCTAATTGAAAGCTGGCTATTTTTTCAGGCTGCTTCTTCCTTAGTCCTCTCAAGTGAGGGCTATTTTTTCTTTCCCACTCATCTACCTTAGGACCTGGAGGCTGTAAATATTGTTCTATGTTTGTTACTGTTCCTTGCAAGCCATTTCTTCCTCTACTACTTCCAAAAAACCAATTCTTTTGAAGAGCCTGCTATTGGGCTTTACCATCTGCTGTCATACTCTCTCGGATCCCCAGACAACTCTGCTTCATTCACTGATCTCTGGCTCACTACCTTCTTATGCAACATGATTTTCATGATCATCTATATGGATCATCCATTCAATGTCTTGGACCCTCAAGTACTCAATCTCAACCTCAACCTCACACCTCTACTTCATCTTGGTCATCCACTGTCATGGTCATAACTTTGACTTTCTCATCTCCAAAAACTGCATTAACCTTAAGCATCTGATTTTTATCACTCCCACTGTCCTTCATCACACCTACTTTAATACTTCCATTCCAAAAACTTTTAGTTGTTGTGAAGGCCCCTAACTCCTGCTTCTACAACTAGCCCACAAACCAGCCAGAATGGTGTCTTAAAAGGTAAATTAAATCATATCACAATCCAGTTTAAAACCCTCTAATCACATTTGCAATATAATCCAAATTACTTACCCTGGCTTCCAAGGACGTCTAAGACTAGGGACCCTGTTTATTTTCCAAATTTTTTTGTGCCTTTACCCCCATTACCCGCTATACTCCAGCTACTCTGGCCTTCTTTAGTACTTTTGTGCTAACTGTTCCTGTTGTCTAAATTGTTCCCTCCCCAACCATATAGCTGCATCTTTTAGGATTCATGCCCTCAGAGAAGTTTTTCCTGGCCAATAATCTACAGGAACCTGCAAGTGATTTTTTTTTTGACACAAAGTCTCACTCTGTCACCGGACTGGAGTGCAGTGGCGCGATCTCGGCTCACTGCAACCTCTGCCTCCCGAGTTCAAGCGATTCTCCTGTCTCAGCCTCCGGAGTAGCTGGGACTACAGGGACGCGCCACCACGCCTGGCTAATTTTTGTATTTTTTTAGTAGAGACGGGTTTTCACCATATTGGCCAGGCTGGTCCCAAACTCCTGACCTTGTGATCCATCCGCCTCTGCCTCCCAAAGTGCTGGGATTACCGGCGTGAGCCACCGCGCCCAGCAAGTGATTCTCTTTCACAAAACCCTATTTAATTTTCTGCATAGCAGTTCTAGGTAAAGTTTTTCTTTATTATTTATTGTCTATCTCCTCCAAAGAGAATGTTAGTTCCACGTGAGGAGTAAGCTTGTCTGCCTTATTTACTACTGATGATCCCGTATTTTGAACAGTGTCAAGCACATGGTAGGTCTGCAATAAATACTATTGTTAAATAAATGAAAAAGCTAGTACAAAATAAGTGCTGTAGGAGTGAAGTGGAAGATAATTAGGAGAGGCATAATGCAAGAAGTGGCCATCTAAGTCCTCCAATAGTTCAAGAGATAGAAATGAGGCAGTGACCTCACAAGTAATGTACAAACAAAACATGCAACGTGTGAGAGAAAAACAAACAGTCCAGATACAGAGCAGTGGGGATGGGGAGGCAGGGAGAGTACTGTGCTGGAAAATGCAGCTGAGTTCGTACCAGATTATGGAAGATGTTGAATGCCCTGACAAGGACTTAGAGTCTATTGGGTGGTCAATGGATGGCTGTTAGTGTTTGAATAGAAAAGGGACACAATCCCAAAACAGGCTTTAGTAAGATGATTCTGATGGAAATGAGCAGGATGTATCCGACGGAGTAACAGTTAGAGGAGTTGAAAAACAAAACAGCATGGTCAAGAACATGGCTGTAGGGATTGGCTCTGAAAGAATAATGATCTTTTCTTTCTCCCAGAAAAATGGAGAAAGACAGACATTCTAAACAAGTGAAACAAGTAGGGAAACTTGGGTAGAATGTAATTCCAGCATTCTGGTAAAAGAGTGGAACCGAACTGGAGGGCAGCAAAGGAGCCCACATGGCGTTAAGCCTGAAGGTGCAGTGTTCCCATTCAACAGAGACTGCTCATGACAGTGTGGAGCGGGGTGCCGGAGGCGGGGGGGCCGGGGGGGAGTAGTGTGCTTGGCCCGTGTGAGGAATTCGTTGGCTGAAGAGGGATCCTGAGAAGGTATTAGAGATACTGAACCCAGTCCTGCTACTTAACTTCGCAGAACTAGGGCGTCGCTGCCCCCCAGCACGTCCAAAAGTGTCCCCGACAAGGCCAGCAACTCTACCTGATTTTTCTCCCTCCCCTAACTCTGCCTGTCCAAAGGCGCGACCCTAGCCCACGTCACCCTTCTTTGGGGGCAAAGGGTATGGATCGTTCAATGCCAATCTCGTCACCCCCCCGCATACAAGCCCACCATCGCGCAAGAAGCTCGACCCGTTCTACCTCGGTTCAGTGGAAAGCATTCATTTGCACAACGCTGTGCGCATGCCCGGAAGCCTTAAGCGTTTCAGCCTCCGACAGGGGCGTAATTAAAGGGGCAGGCGCCCACGTAAAGACGCGCCCTACGCAAGACACGGAGTTTCTCACTTTGTGGAGCCGCCTGAAGGCGCCAAGATGAAGCCATCGGGGAAGTGGGGAGGGGCCTGCCGGGTTGGCCCCGCCCCTCCGCGGCGCTTCCTAGTTCGGCTGGTTCTTCTGTCGCCGGCTTCAGCAGCCTGCTCCCGGGCAGGTAAGGCATTCCCCGCCTTCATGCCTCGGTCAAAGGTCGTCCGAGGTGCGCTTCCAGGTCTTGGCACCTCTGCCCCAGGGTTGCTGTGGTAGGTTGCGGAACGGAAATCTCTATCATCCGTGAGAAAAGTTAGAGAGGAAGTGGGTTCCGTGGACAGAGCTTACTCCAGAAGAAAGACTTGGGTAGGTCCCCGGGAATCAAGAAGTTCGTCGGCCCTGAGGAAGAGCCTGAGGCTTGGAGGGACGTCACTCAGCTGTTCTGGGGCGCAGTCGGACCTCAAGTTTCTCACCTCCCAGGCCCTGGGTTCCGTGAGCCCGATTGCGAAATGAAGAATCTTCCCCAGAACCAGGAAGTCAGGCCAGCACCTGACAGATGCCTGTGGCTCCGACAGCTCGCGGAGCCTCCACACGATTGTAATTCGCTTGTTTCTCCGGCCTCCAAGCTTCCAGGGAATTAGAAAGTGGAGGGGGCTTATGGGATCAGATGAGTACATTCGCAGATAGGGGAAAAAGTGTACCTGTCAGCTTGGAAGCCAGAGAGAGACAAAGGGATAAAAGCAAACCCTGTCCAGGTGCGGTGGCTCATGCCTGTAATCCCAGCACTTTGGGAGGCCGAGGCGGGCGGACACTTGAGGTCAGGAGTTCGAGACCAGCGTAGCCAACATGGTGAAACCCCGTCTCTACTAAGATACAAAAATTAGCTGACATGGTGGCGGGCGCCCGTAATCCCAGCTACTCCAGGGGCTGAGGCAGGAGAATCGCTTGAACCCGGGAGGCGGAGCTTGCAGTGAGCCAAGATCGCACCACTACACTCCACCCTAGGTAACAGAGGGAGACGACGTCTCAAAAGAAAAAAGAAAAAAAAAACAAAAAAACAAACCCTGGGAAAGCGAGAAAGCACTTTGAGCATTTAGAATGGAAAGAAACGGCGCTATTAGTGCTTCAAAAACGTAACTGCCCAAGGTCCCTTGTAAGCACAGGATATTAAAATCTGCCTTTTCCCTTTCTTGGAGTGGTCCTTGAAGAGGGCTATCAGGAAGTTCAAATTTCTTCTGTTTTCGTGCAAAGCGTTCGTTTGAAGTTTGCCTTCTACGTCTCCAAACTGAGCTTCTGATATTTCAGGCCGAACATGTTCCTTCCTCAGCTTTCTCCATCTCAGTAAATATCGGGAAACTTGGTTACGCCAAAAACCTTGGTGCTGTCTTCTCACTCTCCACATCAGCACATAGCTTTCTATTGGCTCCACCTCAGAATCCTAGGACTTATGCACTTGCTCTGCTACCACCCTTGTCCCAGCCTCCAGCCCCTCCCACCTGGCTTATTGGTAGGCTCTCCTAGATGCCTCTTTCTTGCTTCTCTGTCCTTACTCCAACATCCTTTACTCCCAGCAGCCCCGGTATCCTTCTAAGACATGAGTATAGAGCATGTCTTTCTTTTCTCAAAACTTCCAGCCTCTACATCTCACCCAGAGGATAAACAAAGTCAATGCAAAAACTCTAAGGCCCTTGGAGACCTGGCCCCTTTACCTTTCTAACCTCATCTGCTACTTGCCTGTTCCCACCTATGCAGTCTCACCATGTCCTTGCTGTTGCTCAGTGGGCTCATTTCCAACCTTTGCATTTACGTTTGCGTTTTGTCCGCAGACTTTTCCCAGATAGTCCAGTGGCTGGCTTTCTCCTTCTTTTTGACCTTTAATCAAATGGCACCTTCTTATTGAGGCTTCCTCTGACTACCCTATTTATAATTGCAACCCTTTCTCTGTTTCGTTTTGTTCTTTCATTTCACTTGGCACCATCTAACATACTATAGAGTTTATTTATTTGCTTATTGCCTGCCTTCCTCCATTAGAATATAAACTCCATGAGTTCGGGTTTTTGTTTGTTTGTTTGTGTTTTCTCTAATTTTCCTAATGCTTCATCTCCAGGGGCCTGGAGCAGTATCTAGCACATAGTAGACACTCAGTAAATATTTGGTGAGTCAGTGGTATTATATTTTGTTTCTTAAATATATGCAAAGCATTTTCAATTACTTACTGTTGTGTTGGATCAATGTTCAAGAAAGATGTGTTATGTTTAATTTATGGTACACCAGCACATATCCCAGTTTGTAATAGGCAGCCCTATGTAATTTAATAGCTCTGGAAGGCCTCACCAGCTTTTGTTCATAATGATGATGTTAAAGTATCTAAAAATAAAGATTAATGGTTATACAGCATATTTTGCTAAGAATATATGGAAGTAAATAGTGTATTTTAGAAAGGATATAAATATATTAAAAGTACCATGGTTGATCAAATAAGACTGCCAGGGCCGGGCACGGTGGCTCTAGCCTGTAATCCCAGCACTTTGGGAGGCTGAGACGGGCGGATCACAAGGTCAGGAGATCGAGACCATCCTGGCTAACACGGTGAAACCCTGTCTCTACTAAAAAATACAAAAAACTAGCCGGGCGAGGTGGCGGCACCTGTAGTCCCAGCTACTCGGGAGGCTGAGGCAGGAGAATGGCGTGAACCCGGGAGACGGAGCTTGCAGTGAGCTGAGATCCGGCCACTGCACTCCAGCCTGGGCGGCAGAGAGAGACTCCGTCTCAAAAAAAAAAAAAAAAAAGACTGCCACCATCTCAAAAACTTAGTTATTTTCTCAGACTTGTTATTTGTACCCTTTCAGTAGCTCCTCATTACTGTTCTGGAAATTGAACCTAAATACAACTGTGCACATATCTTTAAAAAAAAAAAGTGATATAAGAATAATTTCTGCCAGAAAATAATAATTGCTCCTTTTTTTTTTTTTTGACCACCTATTATGTGACAAGATTTGGCCCTTTGCATGTGTTGATTTTAATTCTTACAGCAATTCTTAGATATTACTATCTCTGTTTTTCAGATAAAGAAAAGCAAGGTCCAGAGAAATATAATTACTAACTCTGGTCACAGTTGGCTTTAGTTAGAACTTAGGCCTGTGCAACCTCAAAGTTCATCTTCCCTCCACCGCTGCACAATCTTTTCCTCTGATCAAAGTGCTAATGAAGCAGTCTTAAAACTTTATTAACACATTTGACAAGAATCTTTTGCCCTCCTGTTTTGAGCACAGTACTTTGTTTGGGAAGGCATTGGATTCCATAAGCAGGTGCTGATTTTAATATATTTCTCAATCACCACCCCACCTTTTATACTTGTCTGAGTTGTCTTATTTGAAAATATGAATGGGATTTCTTTACTATGAGAGTTAGTGGTAAGACGAAACAGTCATGAAGGTATTTAATTATTTATTTGTAAGCAAAGCCTCCTGTATGAATCCTAAGTGTACTAAGGTAAATCTTGAACAGTTTGAAAGAGATGACACTTTTAAAGTTTTTTTGCACAGTGTGTTTTCATTATTGAAAATTCAGAAAAGCAAAACGAAAACAAAACTATCATAAAAGTCATCACCAAGGGATAACCACTGTTAATATTTTGGCTTATGTTCTTGTAAGTATGTGGTTGGGAGTGGTATATGAATGTACATTTAAAGTAAAATTTTAATTTCTGGGATTTTGAACTTCTGGGCACATGTGTGGAAGAGTTGGCAGAAGGCCTTTTTCCTAGTATCCCTACACTCATCACCTCTGCTGGAAGCCTGGGTGCAGGAGAGCTACCAAATTTATCCCTGGCCTTTAGATAGTCTGGGTTTTTTCCTCAGTTCCTTGTATTTAGCTCTAATTTATAAGACTACTAAGCAGTTCTATCTTTTCTAGCTTCGTCAGTCATGTTGTACCTTACAGTAGAGAGAAATCTTAATAAGGAAAAATAACTTGAAGAGAGCAACTGCAGAGTCTATAGGTAACCTAGATACAATTTCTTAATTAAAATTTAAAAATCCTCAGCCTTTCATTCAACACAAATGTCGTGAGTCGTTGCTGAGGTGAATTTGGTTGGGTCCCAGCCAGGAGAGCACCCGTCTAACAGAGAAAGCAGATACGTAAACAGTAAAACATAATAATTATTAGAACAGAAGAATGACTAGGTGACATTTTGGAGCAAAAGAGATGACAATCAGGGGAAGCTAACAGTGCCTTTTGAATTGGGCTTGAAGGAATAATAGGCATTTACCAGGGGGCCTTTAAGGTACATGGGCTATTCTTTTACCTGGCCCTAGATGACTTCACTTCCTGTTTCACAGAAAAAAATACCACTATGTGGGAACTCTTCTCCCTTCAAATATATCTGTATTTAAACCTCTGCGTCCTTCTTTCTAGATTCAAAAGAGACTTCTCTCTATTCAAGGCTGATTTCTTCACCTGTATGCTTTTCATTATCCCATTTGTATTGCCAAACAACTTAAGTCTTAAACCCTTAACACCAACAGTTCTCAAAGTCTGGTTGGAGTCCCTAATGCTCTTTCAGGAGATTTATAACGTCAAAATCATGTATAGTTAAAAGATTCATTCAGAGTGCAATGGATTTTAATGTTCCAAGTTAATTTATACAGCTTCAGATTCCACATTGCAGCTTACCTTTAGGAAGTTATTTCTTTCAAATTTTAGTGTAGTATCAAAGAGAAATATCTACTAGTTTGTGAAAAGGCTATTAAAATACACCTTTCTTTGTAACTATATGTCTGTGTGAAGCTGGATTTTCTTCGTATACATCAACCAAAACAATATACTGCAGTGGGTTGAGTGCAGAAGCAGATATAAGAATTTGGCCCTCTTCTATTAAGTTAAATATTGAAGAGATTAACAAAACCTTAAAACAATGTTACTCTTCTGTTTTTGAGGAAAAGGTAGTTATTTTTATTAAGATATATATGCTAACATGTATATTTATGATTATTTTAAATGAATTAATAAGTAATTTTTAAATTTCTCAGCATCAATTTAATATGGTAAATATTGGTAGATATAACCAACATAAACAAAAGCCCTTTGGGGTCTACAATCGTTTTTAAGAGGGTAAAAGGTCCTGAGACCAAATTTGAAAACTGCTATTCTCTTGCATGCTCTCCTCCCTCTCTCTCCCTACCCCTCCACCCTTGTTTTCCCTCTGCTCACACTCCTCTCTCTTTCTCCTTCCCTTCATAATGAGTCTTCTTGGAAAATCTGTTTTTGCCATTCACTCACTTTTTCACTATAGCTGTTCCCAAGTCACCAATGGCCTTCTGATTTCAGAGTCTAACATCTCCATCAGTGTCTATTTGACCTCTCTGAGTCTTTTGTACCAACCTGCCGCCTTTTCTAGAAGTCTCTGGTATGCCACTGTCCTGTTTTTTTTTCTTGCCTTCATGACTAAGCAGTATTTTTTAAAATTCTTCTTTCACATCATTCCTTTCCATTCTAAGCATTCCTAATAGACAACTTCATTTTATTGTTGTTTCAACCGTATATATGTTGCTCTTAATTTGTATGAGGGCATTTCAAAAAGTTTGTGGAAAAATTGAATTAAAAGATAAAAAATGTAAACTTTGACTCAGCGCTATGGCTCATCCCTGTAATCCCAGCACTTTGGGAGGCCAAGGTGGGCAGATCACCTGAGGTCAGGAGTTCAAGATCAGCCTGGCCAACATGGTGAAACCCCATCTCTACCAAAAATACAAAAATTAGCTGGGTGTTGTGGTGCATACCTGTAATCCCAGCTACTTGGGAGGCTGAGGCAGGAGAATCGCTTGAACCTGGGAGGCAGAGGTTGCAGTAAGCAAAGATTGCATCACTGCACTATAACCTGGATGACAGAGCGAGACTCAGAAAACAAAAAACTGTAAACTTTATTTCTGAACATAAGCTCCATGAAGTTCAAGGCACTTTTGTAAGTGATAACACCAGCCATATGGGCCATCCCTAAAGAACTGAGAGTCCTGGGAATTTAACCATGTCAATAAAGTCTTTTTACATTATTAACTGAAGAAAAATGGGTGCCCTATGAAGAGTTTTCAAGATTAGGAAACAGAAGTCAGAAGGAGACAAATCAGGACTGTAAAGTGGATGCCTGATGATTTCCAGTTGATACTCACAGAATTGCCCTTATTTGATGAAAGAAAAGAGGAGGGGCATTGTTGTGATGGAGAAGGACTCTATGGTGAAGCTTTCCCAGGCGTTTTTCTGCTAAACATTTGACTAAAGCTTTAGCAGAAAAGCTTTAGTTTAGAAACATTTAGAAAAGCTACTGTTTCTCAAAAACACTCTCTAATAAGCAGATGTTACCATTCTTTTTACCTCCAGAAAGTCAACAAGCAAAAATACCTTGAGCATCCCAAAAAGCTGTGGTCATGCCCTTGCTTTTGACTGTCTGCATTTGCTTTGATTGGACCGCTGCCGTTCTGGGGGAGCCATTGCTTTGATTGTGCTTTAAGATCATACTCGTAAAGTCATGTTTCATCTCCTGTTACAATTTTTTGAGGAAATGCTTTAGGATCTTGATCCCACTTGTTTAAAATTTCCATTGAAAGCTCTGCTGTCATCTGCAGCTGATCTGGGTGCAACAGTTTGGGCAGCCATCAAGTGGAAAATTTGCTCAACTTTTATTTTCAGTCAGAATTGTATAGGCTGAATTAGTTGTCTATGGTGTTCGCTGTTGGTTCTGCTATTAATTATAGGTACTCTTCATTTAGGGCACGAACCAGGTGAATGTTTTCCTCAAAAATTGATGTGGATGGTCTGCTGCAGCAGGCTTCATCTTCAACATCATCTCATCCCTTAAAATGAGTTACTGATTTGTATGCTGCTGATTTTCTTGGGGGCATCGTCCCCATCAATAAAGCATCAGTGATTTCACCATTCTTCCAACCAACCTCCATATAAATGTGGTGTTTTTTCTTGCTTCACTTTTAGCAGAATTCATGTTGCTGTGGTAGAGGTTCTTTTCAAACTGTCTTACTCTTCTTAGTGCCTCAAACTAGATCCTGTTTAGACATGAATGATAAGTTAGTGTGAGTTTCTTTTGGAAATATGTTTTGCAAAAAAAAAATTTGAAATCCATGCATGGTTTTTGCATGATATGCATTTTCCATGAACTTTTTGAAAACCCCTCATATATGAGAATACTTACATAGTGAGCATTCTTTGCTGAAACCTCTCTCCTAAGCTCCATATCGCATATATAAGTACTTGGTATGAAGGCCCCTAGATGGTGCCAAAGGTAGATATTTCACATTTAACATGAGTCAAAAAATAAAAATAAAAACAAACAAACCAAAAAAACCATCTTTGTTCTATCTCCCTTTCTTGTAATTGGTCATCTCTAGTGAAATTGTTTTGATTTGGCCTCCTAAATGTTTTCATGTTTTACTTCTCCATTCCCATACCCTATACTTTTTCCAAGCTCTCATTTCTGCTCACCTGGATTATTGCAGAAGTTTTCAAACTAATTTTCTTGCCTCAATATACATCCCTTTAATTTTTATCCAGAGGAATCCACTTAACCATGTAAAATTATTTAACATCCCTCCTAAAAATCCTGAAGTGGCTCTCCTGTAACTTTTAGTTTATAAGTTCAAACTCTTTGTCTTAGCATATGAGGTACATGGTGATCTGGCCCTGCTACCTTTCCACCCTCATCTCTTCTCACTTAATCACAGGCATCCTATGGTGCAGCCATAGCAAGCTCTTTGCCTGAGACACACGTGCTCCCACCTTTTCCCATGCTATTCCCTCTGCCTGGAATTTTCTTTTGGGCTTATTCTCATTCCCTTTCATTCATCCTTCCAACCTCCCACTCCAGGCAAATCTGTCTTGATATCGCTCTCCAGACTGCCTCTGCTTGATGCCCTTTTTCTGGGCCCCATAACACTCTTGCAGCTTTTATCACTCTCTGTCACTGTTTGTATCCCATAGTATACTGAACAGCTTGGAAACAAAGATTTTCTCTTCTCTGTGCTCCCATTTGTTAGTACAAAGATTGACATAAATATTTGCTGAATGTATTCATGAATGAAAGGAAAGGAATAGTCTTTCTGAAAAGGAGAATGGCATGAACAATGCATTGTGTTATAAAAGCAGAGTCATATGGCATGGATTTTGGAGTCAGACATAAGTGTAAGTCCTGGATCTTTCACTTACCACCTTTGTAAAATAGAGATGATAAAACCGTACTGGGAAATAATTTAGTTACTGAACAACACCATTATCTACAGTGTGCAAGTCACTAGGTATATATTCATGAATAAAATTAGCATGGTCCTGAACTCATGGATCTTAAAATCTAATATGGGAGACAGTAAACAAGTAAACAAATAAATATATGATCACAAATACATTGTGCAATGATGAAAGATAATTAGGTGAAGGGCAGCTAGACCTATTTAGATGTGGTCAAAGAAGTCCAAAGAGAGGAAGTGAATACTAACGTAAAAGCCTATGATACAGAGAAGCTTTCGCTTTTTACTCTTTGATAGTTTTAGAATGTTGTTCCATATGAACACATTATTTACTCTAAAATTGTATTTTTTAAATATATATAGGGAAGCAAAAATAAGTGACATAAGAATATCTGAGTCTATTTGTCTTAATTGGAAGGAAAGATCATTTCCTATTGAGAATGAGGTACATGCAGAACAAATAAAATCCACATAGAAAGAAGCAAAGATATGAAATAGTCACTAAGGACAATGAGAGGAGACAAGTGGAAGGATTAATGGCAGTGTTAGGCCATTAATGTGGAAAGGGGGTTACCATAAATTTGTATTCACATCAGCAACTCTGGTGTACAAGTAAAATTGTTAGATTTATCCCTAGCTGCAGCTCTCCAGTGTGGAGTAGCAGAAGAAAAGGGGGACTACAGAAATAAAGATTCTGTCTAGAGAGTGACTGAAGTGGTGAAACACAGGTTTTGGCATAGTAGCAAATGAACTGTGGTCAGGCAGATCTCATGGACTCAAAAAATGTGCAGAGGTCAAGGAAAAGCAAGCTATGTGAACAGTGGGTGGGTGGACCCTATCTGTTAATGCTACACAAATCATTTCAGTACTTTTTTTTTCTTCTACCAAAGAACATTGCATAAATTTTTAATCGTAAATGAGTACTGATTGAGCAACATATATTAAATTGAAAGGTAAATGTTTTTATTAATAGATTTGATTTCTGAATATGCTAATTCTGATAGTTTATTGATATTACTGTTAAAAAGAATTGCTCTGGTAAGTGTTTTGCCCCTTTCTATAAATTATACTTGGAAAATATCAATGTCAAAAAAAAGTCCTCCGATTTTTATTGCTATTAATAGGTGGAAAAAGGAAGGAAACCTAGAGGATAATTGGACAAATGAATTACAATTTTAGTTTCATCTTAGGGTATCAGTGACTTGACTTTGGAATGTTTCTTTATTATGGTATAATCAGTTGCTGGCATTTCATATGATATAGCAAAGTGTGATGTAGAAGCTTACAGATGTCATCTCTAAAAGTACTATAAAATTTTAATGAGATTTTTCCATATTTTAGGAATAGAAGATGAACAAACCCATAACACCATCAACATATGTGCGCTGCCTCAATGTTGGACTGATTAGGAAGCTGTCAGATTTTATTGATCCTCAAGAAGGATGGAAGAAGTTAGCTGTAGCTATTAAGAAACCATCTGGTGATGATAGATACAATCAGTTTCACATAAGGTAACAGATAAAATTCTTGGTATTTGTAAATTCTTACATCACAATATGGAATGATTAATTGGTATAAGTACTGTCTAATGTGGCAGTTTAGAAAGTAAACCTCTATACTGTGGAGGAGACATTGGTAGTAAGTAACCTCTTTTTGGTTGTTCCTTTTGCAATTGTGTCTTATTTCTCCCATATGTCAATAGGGCTAATATTGTGATCTCTCAAATAAGCTTTCTGAGTTAGAATCAATATTCCCACCTTTGCTGTGGTTCCCAGTTTGGCAAGCCAAGTGAAGTTCAGTCTGCCTCACACCTCTCATTTCCAGATTGAAGGAAAATAAGAATGTTATAAGAATGTCTAGTAAAAATCTAGAGCTTAAACTTCAAAGTGTGTAAATCTCTAATGCACTCTAACAGTGTATTTTGGGAGTTTTTCAATTTGACATTTTAAAGTTGTTGCTTACAAGTGTACACTTCTGTGAACAGAATTCTTAAATCTTAGCCAGGATTTCTCAGTGCTATCATCAGATAATTTCAATTTTTCCTCTTTACTCATCTCTGCTCGATTTAGTGTAAAATATGCATGCAGATTTTATTTTTGTTAGTCATTGCATTTAAAACCGATGTCAAAATGTTTCTTTGGTAGCAAAAGGAAAAGAAGACTCTTTGTTATTTTCAGCATTAACCTCGGAAAGAACCTAATAGCCTTAGCTCCCTTGCAGGAAATGTTTCTCATAAGAAAAGCGAACATGTTAAATTACTTGAAAGAAGCTTAAGTTTAAACTGTGTTAAGCCAATGTTTAAAGATAATTTTTTAATATTACTGTTAAAAACTTATGGAAGATAATTGGGGCAGTGGTGGCAGGAAGATAAAGCTCTTCTTTTTTTTTTTTTTTTTTTTTTTTTTCCTTTTTTCAAGACTCACTCCTGTGACAGAAAAAGCTCTTCTTTACAGAATACCTGCAAATAATTGTGAAAAGAATGGTAGAATGAGAAAAATACCTATTTGTAACCACCAATGAGTAACTGATTCTTGCAAGCTCATCACTGAACCTAAAAAGCATAAGGTGAAAGGTGATTGTTCTCATGCATATGAGCAGGATATGCACAAGATTTTAAAGTATTATAGGCTGGGCACAGTGGCTCATGCCTGTCATCCTAACACTTGAGGAGGCCGAGTTGGGCAGATTGCTTGAGCCCAGGAGTTCAAGACCAGCCTGGGCAACATGGTAAAATCCCATCTCTACAAAAAATTAGCTGGGCGTGGTAGTGCACGCCTGTAGTCCCGGCTACTTGGGAGGTTGAGGTGGGAGGATCACCTGAGCCCAGGAAGTGAAGGCTGCAGTGAGCCATGATCATGCCACTGCACTCCAGCCTGAGTGACAGAGCAAGACTCCCTCAATAGATAGATAAAAAGTATTGTACACAAATTACTTGTGAAGTATGAAAGGGAAGGGTACATTTTTAATGAGGAAATCTGAAGTACACTTCCTTTACCATGTGATCAAATTTTAGCACCAATAATAATGGTACAAAATGCCAATATGTACCCCTGGATGTGATACAATGGGAAGGGCACATTATACCTATGTAGTATTTCTACCAAAATGTTTCATCGGAATTTAATCATGAGAAAGTAGTCGGATACATCTAGGCTGTTAGACTCATTCTATGACATCTGGCCCATATTCTAAAATACACTCCCACAGACATAGATTGAAAGAGAGCATGCACAAGAGCCCAGATATGGCACAATTTTATCAGTTATTCAATTGGTGAATCTAGGTGAATGGTTGTTCATTCTATCATTTTTTCAACTTTTCTGTAAGTTTGAAATTTTTAAAAATCTTTAGAGGAAAAAGAAAAAAACAATATTGGTTAAATTTTTAAATGTTAACTTTTCAAAACTAATTTTTAATTTTAAAGAAATGGAATGGAAAGAAATGGGATGAAAGCCGACTTTGTGATTTTTTTTCAATTTAATTGAATTACAGTTAAGATTGAAGGAATAATTTCCTAAGTTTTTGTGTATTCTGTTTCTTTCATTAAGCAGGCAGATTTATTAAAAATTATATAGCTATCAGAGTCTTAAGTTATGTGGGAAGTAATATAACTAAGTAGATTGAGAATACACTCTTATGTCAAATGAGATCTGAATTTGGACCTCAACTTGGATCATCATATTGGCTGTGTGGCTATGGGCTTGTTACTCTACCTCTCCAAGCCTCGCTTTTTCACTAGTAAATTCGTATGATAATCATAATATCTTTGAACATGCTCATGTGTGTACATCCTGTAAACCACTAAGTAAATACCCCGTAAGTACCCAGTAGATTATTATCATCATCTTTGGCATCTTTTTTCCTCCTATTTTTCCTGTCTCTTTGTAATTCTTGCTGGTTCTCTTGTTGTCCCATTTCTTTAATGTCATAGGAGACGCTGTAGGCAAAACAGGGGCAGGGGAGATCAACACCTGTTTTCATATGACCTCAGTTTATAAATGCTATTGTTTGAATGTGTCCCCAAAAGTTCATGTGTTAGAAACTTAATATACCCATTGCAAAAGGGTTGAGAGGTGGGACCTTTAAAGGGCAGTTGGTCATGAGGGCTCTGCCCTTATGAGTGGATTAATGTTGTCATGGCAGGAGTGGCTTAGTTATCTTGGGAGTGGGTTTCTGATAGAAAGGTAAGTTAGGCCCTATTTTTCCTTCTCTCTCTCTCTCTCTCTCTCTCTCTCTTTTCTTTCTCTCTCACATGCACGTGTGCATGCTCTTTGCCCTTCTGCCCTTCCACCATGAGATGATGTAGCAAGAAGGCCCTAACCAGATGCAGCCTCTCGATCTTGGACTTCCCAGCCTCCAGAACCGTGAGCCAAATTAACTATTGTTTATAAATTACCCTGTCTGTGGTATTCTATTATTGCACTACAAAATGAACTAAGACAATAGACTAATTTTGTTTCTTTGTTACTTACTTTTAAGGAGATTTGAAGCATTACTTCAAACTGGAAAAAGTCCCACTTCTGAATTACTGTTTGACTGGGGCACCACAAATTGCACAGTTGGTGATCTTGTGGATCTTTTGATCCAAAATGAATTTTTTGCTCCTGCGAGTCTTTTGCTCCCAGGTAAACTGATTGTGACCAGGGTGTCCACAATTAGGGTGGAAAGACAAATGGCCAAAATAGAAATGTTTCTTCTTACTCTTACTTTTTCCTCCTGGTAGATGAAGTTTACATTTGAGAGTCCCTTTCTTTCTTTCAGCACTCCTCAACTCTTTAAAAAGCAGTACCGACAAAGGACACTGTGGACCCTGCTACTAAGGTGATAGAAGCTTTGTAAGAGTCAGATAGTTTTGTGCCAATAGGAAGTTTAGAAGGAAAGACTTCACACATCTGGCTTAGGCTGTAAGAAAGTAATTATTCTTTTGAGTTCTTGCTTTTTTTCATCTTCAACTTCTACCCTGATGAGATTCTATGATCATAATTTTAAAAAATTGTATTCTGATGTGTTAGTGTCTAGTTGCCTTCCTTATAACCTTTCTTTTCTTCCTTTGATGCCTTTCACACTAGTGGTTCTGAACCTTTATCATGCATAAGAATCACTTAGGTTCTGGTTAAACATGTAGATTCCTAGGGTCTGTTCCAAATCTATGTATTCAGGATTCTGGAATTGGGTTTAAGGTCTATATTCTTAAACAAGTGCTTCAGTGCCTCTGATACAGGTGGCTCATGGATCACTGTTTGAAAACACTGCCTTACTCTCTTTACCCATATTCATTATAACTTACAGATTCTTACTAGGTAGCTTCTTGTGTGTGCTGTGAGAATATGAGACCAACCTGTAGAAACTGGAATGATATTAAATGAACCAAGTTTCTAGTTTAACTTTTTCACAACCACTTCTTATTACTGAAAAACCACTTGTGTCTTACTTCATTTGTTAGATGCTGTTCCCAAAACTGCTAATACACTACCTTCTAAAGAAGCTGTAACAGTTCAACAAAAACAGATGCCTTTCTATGACAAAGACAGGACATTGATGACACCTCTGCAGAATCTTGAACAAAGCTATATGCCACCTGACTCCTCAAGTCCAGAAAATAAAAGTTTAGAAGTTAGTGATACACGTAAGTAACATTTTCAGTGCTTTCTACTAGTGGATTTGTCATTAAGACTAGCAGCGCTTTAAAAGAAAGCTTTTGTTCTTTTGTTTGTGCAGCAATCACAGGCACACTGGCAATAGCTCTTTTGTGAGTTTTTTCCTCCTGATGTATTAAGAACCATCTTCTTTGTGTTAATCAGTGATTAGAGGCAATAGGACATGCAAACAACCAGAGAAGCTATGAAAAAAAAATAAGTAAATATTTACATAACTTGGAAGGGTCACTTTTTAAAATAAAATATGTGAGTAGAGTTTTGGGTAGGTAGACTAGACCCACTCAAATGTGTGACTAGAATTTTGGGTGGGTGACTACAGTGTTCAGAGGGTAGGATCACCAAACAGAATTCTCAAGAAAAACTTATAATTTGTATTTTAGAAATGGTTTTATATTCTCCCGTCTTGTCTAATTCAAAATCATAAATATTTACATACATGTGAAATCTTCAAATGAGAAAATATTAGAATTATTAAAATGAATTTTTAAAATTTAAGCATGTTTTTCTTATTTTGACATTATAGGTTTTCACAGTTTTTCATTTTATGAATTGAAGAATGTCACAAATAACTTTGATGAACGACCCATTTCTGTTGGTGGTAATAAAATGGGAGAGGGAGGATTTGGAGTTGTATATAAAGGCTACGTAAATAACGCAACTGTGGCAGTAAAGAAGCTTGCAGCAGTAAGTTATATTTTCAGGAATAAAGAGTTGCTTCATAGTGTGCTCTATAATAAAGTTAATCTTTAGGAAATACATTATTTCAGTATGTATTTTCTTTAAATAAACATCATTCTACATAGTAGTTCTTAAAATTTAAAAATCTGTTGAATGCTATGGACCCTACCCCTAGAAAAATGTAGTTATGTACATATACACACAATCATACATACAATTTTGGAAGATTCACAAACTAAAGTTGAGAAGCCCTGCTCCACATAGTGCCTCATGTGTAATCAAGATTAAAATGGTAAGATACCAGGAAAACTATTTAAAAAAAAAAAAAACCGTGTTTGCATTACTTTTCCCATTTAAAAATAAAGTTTATGAAGTATACATTAAGAAAAAACATTAAAATTTTTTTTATCCGTGTCCTTTGTTGCCATTTCTACTGGAGTGTTCACCTTTCACTTATTGACTAGTTATATTCTAAACCTTTTGTTAGAGCCTAAAAATATCAATAGAATGCATATGTATGTGATAAAGATAGTCACTCTCTGTCATATACATTGCAGGGCTTTTGTAGGTTTTGTTTTCCATTTTGCACTAAAATTGCGTATGTTTTCTGTTTCCTAGAATATTTTTTCAAATTTTTTGTGTAGTGAAATTTCATGCTATTTCATTTTGTTTCCACAACTCAGTGAAATTTAAATATATTTCTCATTCCACTAACCAGCCATGGACCTTGAGCAAATCGCTAGTATTTCTAGATCTCAGTTGTTCTGTAGAATTGGGAGAATAATACCTTATTGTTTTAAAGAAAGGGAGATGAGCCAGCTGATCTCTTGATCCCTCTGAGCATTAGGAACCTTAGAATTGTGCAGTATTACACTGTATATTTTATTTTTTCAGATGGTTGACATTACTACTGAAGAACTGAAACAGCAGTTTGATCAAGAAATAAAAGTAATGGCAAAGTAAGTCTTAATTTGGCAGTGCGGTGTAGTGGAAAGGAAAAAGACAAGGAGTAAGGAACCTGGTTCACTCTAGAGTATGCCATGAACTAGTGATGTTTGCACATATATGAAATTAAAATTAAGTGTTTAGAGAAATTGAAAGTACTTTTGGCTCCATAATTCTATGATTACATATACTCATATGCCTGGAGATTAAATAGCAGTCATTTTTATTTATTTATTTATTTTGAGATGGAGTCTCACTGTGTCACCCAAGCTGGAGTGCAGTGGCACCATCTCGGCTCACTGCAACCTCTGCCTCCCAGGTTCAAGCGATTCTCCTGCCTCAGCCTCCCGAGTAGCTGGGACTACAGGTGTGTGCCATCATGCCTGGCTAATTTTTCTTGTATTTTTAGTAGAGGCGGGGTTTCACTGTGTTAGCCAGGATGGTCTTGATCTCGACCTCATGATCTGCCTGCCTCAGCCTCCCCAAGTGCTGGGATTACAGGCAGGAGCCACTGCGCTTGACCGCAGTCATTATTTTAAGTCACAACAAGGTTACGTGGAATTTTACTATCATGTCCTTCATTATCATGTTTTCTACTTCCAGAATTCATGAGAGATCAATTGTAGAGATACTTAAAAAAACTATCTACAGAATATATAAAGTAGCATCTATACAGCAACTAGAGTCATGTTATCTGCAAAGATAAGCATTTACTCTATGTGCTGTTATCTGAAGGCAGATATACTTTAAATAAGCATCATTCTACATAGTAGTTCTTAAAATTTAAAAATCTGTTGAATGCTATGGACTCTACCCCTAGAAAAATGTAGTTATATACATATACACACAATCATGCATACAATTTTGGGAGATTCACAAACTAAAGTTGAGAAGCCCTGCTCCACATAGTATCCACATATATATCTGAAGATATATATATACTTTATATATAAAGTAGCACCTATAAAGCAACTAGAGTCATGTTATCTGCCTTCTCAGCATTGACCCTGTGTGCTGGAAAATTGTTGGACATCATCAGGAAAAGTAGGAGGGACAACGGAGGAAATGTATTCTAATTATTATAGTAATTAATAGTGGTTGATATTTGAGTGTGTACAACATTCCAGACATTGTGCTATGTACCTTATGTGCATTGTCTATCTAACCTTTACAACTGTTACAACTGCTCATTTTGTTTGTTAACTGAGATTTAGAAACGTTAAATAGCTTGTCCAAGATCACGTAGCCAGTAAGTGTTAAGAGATGGGATTGAAATCCAGATCTGTTTGATTGCAGAGCCTGAACTTTTGATCTGAATCCTAATGGGATTTACCAGATTATACCCATTAAACCCACTGCTGTAAATCACCAATCATAGTTACTTAACCTCAAGTAGGAAGAATAGACTAGAATTGACTTATGCACGGTAAAAATGATACACACTGAAAAAAAATCAAATTTTTTGTTTTTAGGATTTGTTTTCTCCACTTCTACCCCTACTCTGCAGTTCTAAAAGTAACTTGCTCACAGTAGATAATCTGGAAAATACAGGAAAATATTTTTAAAATATACAAAACCATATGCATGCAGGGCTTAATACCTAGGTGATGGGTTGATAGGTGCAGCAAACCACCGTGGCACATGTTTACATATGTGACAAACCTGCACGTTCTGTACATGTGTCCCGGAACTTAATAATAATAATACAAACCATCTCTCAAATACATCACTCAGAGATAACCACTGCTAATATTTTTATATACTTGCTTCATGATGTGTGTGTAGCATTTCCCCATGTCATTAAAAATAATTTGAAAACATTTTAAATTATTGTACAACATTCTAGAATATGTGAGAATCATATTTTATTTAACCATAGCTATGTTTGTTTCTAATTTTCAGTATTAAAAATAAAGCTTCTTTAAAGTTCTTTGCACATAAATCTTTAAATGCAGTTATACTTACTTTATCATCTAGGGTAAAGTCCTAGAAAAAGAATTACTGGGTCGGAATGCATGAACTTTTTAAAGACTTTCTAAATACACATTCAAACATTCAAATGGCTTTTGAGATAGGTTTCAGTAATTTATATTACTACCAGCGCTGGGCGTGGTGGCTCACGCCTGTAATCCCAGCACTTTGGGAGGCCGAGGCGGGCGGATCACGAGGTCACCAGATCGAGACCATCCTGGCTAACACGGTGAAACCCCGTCTCTACTAAAAATACAAAAAACTAGCCAGGGGAGGTGGCGGGCGCCTGTAGTCCCAGGTATTCGGGAGGCTGAGGCAGGAGAATGGCGTGAACCTGGGAAGCGGAGGTTGCGGTGAGCCGGCTCATGCCACTGCACTCCAGCCTGGGCGACAAAGCGAGACTCCGTCTCAAAATAAATAAATAAATAAATAAATTTATATTACTACCAGCAGTGCATTACAATTTCAAACTTTACTGGTTCCTTATCTTCATTTAATATCATTCCTTTTTTTTTTTTTTTTTTTTTTGAGATGGAGTCTCGCTCTGTCGCCCAGGCTGGAATGCAGTGGCGCAATCTCGGCTCACTGCAAGCTCGCTCTCCCGGGTTCACACCATTCTCCTGCCTCAGCCTCCTGAGTAGCTGGGACTACAGGCACTCGCCACCACACCCAGCTAATTTCGTTTTGTATTTTTAGTAGAGACGGCGTTTCACCATGTTAGCCAGGATGGTGTTGATCTCCTGACCTCGTGATCCACCTACTTCGGCCTCCCAAAGTGCTGGGATTACAGGCGTGAGCCACCACGCCCAGCTTATTATTACTATTATTTAGTAAGTGCCAATCTCTGGACCTTACTAGCAGAATGATCTTGGCCAAGTTTCTTAACTTTCTATTCGTTAATTTTCTCATCTATAAAACAGGATAATAGTACTTACTTAAGTTATTGTAAGGATTAAATAAAGCAGGTAAATCACTTGCCACAATGCCTCGTATATAGTATAAACTCAGCAAATGTTAATTACTCATGTTTAAAATATGCCAATTTGGTGGAAAATGGAACACTTATTGCTTTAATTTTTGCTTCTTAAAATATTTATGAGAATAGAAGAAGTCATATTTGATATAATGAACTGCTAGAATTGTGGATAGTTTTGAATGAACAAAATGAATAAGCACTTAAATAATAAAACACTTATCATGTGCCAGATATGTTTCTAGGCTGTCATGTTTACATTTTCTCATTTAATTGTCTCAGCATCCGTATTACATTATTATGTACTATTTTCTGCATTTAGCTGATAAAGGAGCTGAGGCTCAGTAAGGCTGTTAACTTGCCATAGGTCACCTATCCAGGAGGGGGCAGAGCGAGACTTTAAATTTAGGATGTATAACTCTGAGCCCTGTGTTCTTTCATCTTACCACAGATGCCTGCCGCTTTATTATATCGTAGGTCTCTTTAGTTTTATTATTCTCAAGTATATAAAGACACTCAAATTAGGTTATAAATAATCCAGTGTGATTAAAGATCAAAAACATGTAAATTAGATGTGATTCAAGATCATGTCTGTAAATCAGTGCTTTGAGTTTGTTAGAAAATTCTTGACAGTATTAGCATAAAAATACAATGGACTTCTTGAAATCTTATTTGTGCCATCATTGAATATTGGGCTAAAGAAATTGAACTTCAGCCTAGTCCTTAACCAAACTTATCACAAGTTCCAATAATCTGAATTATTTAGCTTTTACTATAAAATAGAAAGTTTTGGCCAGGTGTAGTGGCTCATGCCTGAAATCCCAATACTTTGGGAGGCCAAGGTGGTAGGATTGCTTGAGGCCAGCGGTTTGAGACCAGCCTGGGAAACACACAGTGAGACTTCATCTCTACAAAAAAGTTTAAAAAGTACCTGAGTATGGTATGTACCAGTAGTCCAAGCTACTTGGGAGGATGAGGCAGAAGGATTACTTGAGTCCAGATGGTCGAGGCCACAGTGAGCTATGATTGCACCACTGCACTGCAGCCTGGGCAACAGAGTTAGACCCTGTCTCAAAAAAAAAAAAAGAAAAGAAAATAGATTTTACTTCTTTTTTTTTTTTTTGTTCATGTTGTCTTTACTTTTATTAACCTTTAGAGAATTAAGTAGTTCTTCATTTTAGCCTATCAAGTTGGGTTAAACATTTAACGCATAAATTATTACAGGCATAAATATCATACTAGATCTATTTAGAATTTAAGTGAAGGCAGTGATATGTTACTTCTTTTTTTTTTTTTTTATACTTTAAGTTCTAGGGTACATGTGCAGGTTTGTTACATATGTATACTTGTGCCATGTTGGTGTGCTGTACCCATCAACTCGTCAGCACCCATCAACTCGTCATTTACATCAGTTATAACTCCCAATGCCATACCTCCCCCCTCCCC